ATGCTGACATACAGGCCTACTGTGCATATTTTTTCTTAAGTTTTCTTACACGCCTTAAAACGGGAGGCTGTCGCTCAGGAGGTAGAGTGGGTCATCCACCAATAAGAAGGTTGGTGGTTTGGTCCCCTGCTCCTCCTGCTGCATCTCAAAATGTCCTTGAGCAATATACTGAACCCGAATTGCTCCCAAAGCTGTGCATCGATGCATGAATGTAGATGAATGAGTTTCCGTTTCAGATGGCCCTTGCTTCACTGTGTGAATGGGTGAGTGTGGCATGTAGTGTAAAAGCGATTTGAGTGGTTGGAAGACTAGAAAGGTTTTATACAAGTACAGGTCCATTTACCATTTAAAAAGGCCACATGACCCCTAGTGGGGGTCCCGATTTATTTTTCACCGATAAGCCATAACATTACTATTAACTTCGGAGGACTCCACAGCACCCAGTACCTACCAACTCTGCTGATTAAGACTGTTTAACTTTAACCTGCTATGCACAAACTTTACCTTGTAATAATTGCACATGTACAGTTGGAGGCAGTGTGATGCTGTGGGTGATGTCCTGCTGGGAAACCTTGGGTCCTTCCATTCATGTGGATGTTACTTGCTAAGGTAGATGGTACGTGTCACTCTTTCATGGAAATGGTATTACCTGATGGCAGTGGTCTATTTTAGCAGGATAATGTGCCATGCCACAAAGCAAAAATGGTTCAGGAATGGTTTGAGGAACACAACAATAAGTTCAAGGTGTTAACTTGTTCCTCAGATCTCAATCCAATCAAGCATCTGTGGGATGTGCTGGAACAAACAAGTCTGATTAATGGAGGCTGTTTTGGAGGCAAAAGGAGACCTACACAATATTAGGCAGGTGGTCAAAATGTTATGGCTGAACAGTGTATTTTCTAGTGATTTTATATTTTTATATTTGAGGACGGCTTATTAACTGACCCAAAAGAGGGCCCAAAGAGATGATCGGGTGTAAAGGCTTGAATACCCTTTCCCAACTATCTCAAAAATGTGTGGTAAATAGTACAGCTCTGAAGCTTAATTTCTTTCTTACAATAAAACACGTTGGTCAGTCACTTAACATTCATAGATCCGTTACAGAACAGTACCTATATAATCAATATGGAGCCTGGTATGGTGTTAATAAACTGAAGCTACATTACAGTGAGGTGAATAAAGAATAGTTAAAAGGCAGAATGTAACAGATTATGGTACCGGAGGCTGAGCAGTCCGTGTTGGAGTTCAGCTGACAACCTGTATTTGTCTGACTGGATCAGTTCTCTGATAGAATCAAAGTCCTGCTTCAGCTGGAGAGCTCCCTGCACACTGAGGAGGAACAACAGAATAACACTGTTCAGAACTTTCACTAAGAAATACATCAGCATCATGGTACACGGTACCCAGTTAGATCCACAGAAGGAGAGGGAAACGTGTTTTACATCAGGCACACACACACACACGCACACACAGAACTGGCAGAACTTTTCATACACATTTTCTAGTTACTAAAACTGTGTCACAACCTCTGACACAATACTGGAGGACTCAAATGCACAGACTCTGGCACAGACGAAGATGTAGCAAAAATGATATTTATCCAAAATAAAATTCAAACAAAAGGCACTCTCAAGGAGGGTATCAAAGTGCAAAACAAATAAACACAAACTTTAATAGAAACATGAAATAACCTGAA